GTAGTGGTAGCATTCTTTATACCTGTCGACGTTGTAGCTGTAGAGCGAGGTGCAAACTCGAGAGCGAGACCTCGAATTCTCCGACTTGCATGGTGCACTGCATTTTGCACTAGCATGATGCGCCAGCTCCAGATTCTGGTTGGCGTTCCTGCTACTGGGAGGAGTCTGTCGCATAGGTGATAATACCCAGCACATCCACCAATAAAATGTCACGTTTTTAAACTAAAGCGACTTACCAGGTGGCTTCACAACGTCCAAGTGCTGAGAGCGGTTAGCACAGCACAGCCACAACGATGGCACATGCACGAGAACCACTACGTCTTCGTGTAGCTCTGTGACACTGGCATATAAATTAAGCACGTGATATAAGTACGTATATATAACACTTTTGCAGGGAACGCATGGTACTCATTAGAAACCGTATATGAAAATGAAGCATCTGATTTGTTTTCATCAGTTGTGGGTCTGAGCCAGAATGGCGTTTCCCGAGATATTGTTCCCCATTGCTTTCTTTGATCTTTGAGACAGCCCCAATGATGAATTCAATAGCTCCCAATGATGAATTCAATATCTTTTTTTTTGAGACAGCCCGTTCGTCAAGATATGAAAATATATCAACACGAATGTTCAAAATGTACATGTCTGTATACCGTGGTGTGCAGTCGAGGGTTCTCAGTAATTCACGAAAAGCACCACCAGAGTGTATGTGAGAAATTAACCAAGAGAAAAAATGAAGAAATCGCTTGTTAATTGTCTTATCTTTTCTTATTGTGGTAGCTAGTAGGTCGTCATAACGTCCCCTTGTAGTTATAGCATAAAAGAAAAAGATTTACATTTTTATATGTCCCGCATTTACTCTATGAATATTTTTCGCAAGTTGTTCTTAAACACCTTGTGATACGTGACATGCATTTTTCTGTCAAAGAGGCACATGTATGCAATGTATGTAAGCTCAGAGAAGCATAGACGATATAGCGTATGTCAAAGCCTCAATGAAGAGTGGTGTTCTTAAAAGGGACTATATTTAAGGAAGAGGTTTAGACGCGTTCAATGAGGCATTTTCATGTCTTGCAAACGAGACCTCTAAGGAAAATATTTGCTCTTCAATCCACTGTGATTTCTTGAACTCCTTATCTTTGCTTTACCCTTTAGTTTTTACAAGTCCCAAAGCCCTTTTTTTTTTGCAGATAATATCAGTGCTGACAACAAACTCAGTTTCGGATACGTTGTGATAATGGTGTCACAAAAAATACCAACGCCTCATATCAAACAGAACAAAATGTTGTTATAGGTAAAATGTACGAGAAAATTCGAAATAAAACACTGAGGGTCGCCATTTGCCTTCAGAAGCTTCCGCGCAGTAATCGCATTTTGTATTACCGGAAATATTTTTAAAACTGCACGACATTACGTTCTGCCATACGACGAGGAAATATTAACGCATGACATACCCTGAAACTCATCGCCTACCTTCAATGTAGTCAAGGTTTTCCTCAATCTACACTGGGGGGCAGCGACCACTCAGAGATTGCCGTGGTAGCGAAGTCAAGCCATCGTTTTGTCTGTGTTGCGTCGCGCCCTTGGCGTAAAGGAAAAACTCCCTTAAAAAACGTTGTAAAGCAACGGGATCTTGACCTGCGCGCGTGCTCACGATGTCCTTCTGGCAAAGTGCTGATCTGCGAGCAATGCGTGAAAAAAGTAAAAGTACAGCGTATTGGCATGAATAAAAATTTGGTTGGCGTACACAACAACAAAGCGAAAAGTTACGACCTGCATTCACTCAAATGCAGCTGGAATCATTTTCAGGGGTGCATCGCGTTCCTTTTTCGCCACTATTTGAAGTGAGAAGGTTAAGAAAAGTCAACAACAGAAACCTGATTTTACATTTATAGAAAAAACAATAGGCAAAACACACCATACCCACACTACACGAAAGAAATGCAGACAAGACGCCAGAGTTTTCTCAATTTTATAGTTTTCACTTCTCTCTTTCTGAGCCTGTGGTATTTTGTTTACGTCTAAAATTTAAAAAGTTGCCACCGGAGATTAGGTTGGTGAAAAACGTCTCAATAATCGCACATAATGTCACTTCAACTCTCGCGGATGTAAGCATACGTGGGTAGAAATGGGCTCTCAGCCCGTCATACCTGCCACGGAATCTCATTGACTTTGCCGGTTTCTCACCGATTGCTCCAGCCACAATTTGTTGGGAAATTCATATATGAAAATAAAGTCTGGTATATATACAATTAAAACACGTTTATTAAACCCAAGAACTAAATATTTACTCAGAATCTTCAACTACAGTGTCACTCATAGCATCGTTCTAGGGTGCAAAATTCCATGATTCAACCGAATTCAGTTATTCAATGCGTATTTTCAACTTATGATATATATATATATATATATATATATATATATAGTTCAATAGTTCGTCTTTGTATATATATCTATTTATATATATATAATATATATATATATATATATATATATATATATATATATATATATATATATATATATATATATATATATATATATATATATATATATATATATATATATATACAAAATACAAAGACGAACTATCGCAGAAAATAGTTCAGACCACATGAAAGCGGCTGGCCTACGACCAGAGCACGGCGTAAATATATAAATTCGCTCGATCGCATGGCCAAGCCACAACCAAACATGCGAAGCTTCAGTAAACGACCGCGTTTTATTGACAACCTCACATTGGTCATTATTAATATTACCCCTTTTTTTTCGAAGGGCTTCTTTCGAAGGGCCCCCTTTCATGATTCTGTTGTCTTTTTGTTCTTCCCATTTGGCACTGATTTCTTTTTGTCTGTGCGTTCTTGCTCTTAATATTTTACTTATTTTTCTGAAGACTGTCCTGCATTGTGTTGTTCATTTTTATTATTTTATTTCTGTGGGCGCCTGTCCAATGACCTCATGATTGTTCCTGGGCATGGTAAATAAATAAATTATTACTATTATTATTATTATTATTATTATTATTATTATTATTATTATTGCTACAATAAACTGTAGAAGTTCACTACTGCTTAGGGGCAATATTACTATAAAAGGGCTCTACGAACGCTTGCTTCCACGTACGCAATGACACATACATGTCACTAGGACATGCTTCACCGTTCTTGGCTGCGTGAAAGGCCTCAAGTATATCACGCGCCAATCTGTCATGACTTCTGCACAAAATCTTCATGTGCTCATATATACCGGATCACACTCCACTCTTTACAGTGAATGTCTAAAATCCATCTTGTTGTATTTGATAATATTATATAGTGTTCCCAAGCTCTATCATGAAACGATACCAACCACACTATTTATAACGGTTTGGTCATGCGCCTATCACTTTGTGGCATATTTCACCTACTCTATCCTTAAAGGGAACACTTGTGGTTTCCTTTGCTCAGGGGAAGCCTTGGCATTTTTTTCTTCCATTCTTTATTTGTAGCAGTGTTTCTGCTGCAGCAGACACAACAGCACATGAAAAAGCCGCATCAGCGGAGCTGTTTAAACCAGTCGGAATCCGCCCGAAGCATAAAAAATAAGAACTCTGAACCTTGACGAGCGCCTGCTTCACTACCACATAGAATGCTCCGCCGCCAGTCTGCCTGCCTGGATGCTGCGCGCAACCGCTGGGTCGTGCAGCACGTGACGTCACAGTCAGATGCGCATGACCTCTTCCGTTCTGTATAAATGCCTGCATTATATGCCTGTATTGTTGCGTACTATATGCCTGCTGCCGATGCAGTCATATGTATTATTAAATGTGAAGTTTGACGTTCCAGAACATGAATATGATTAAAAGGGACGCCGTAGTGGAGTACTCCCCAAATTTTGACTACCTCGTATTTCTTAAATCGCGCTGACGTAACACAGAGCTCGGGCCCTAGCATTTTACCTCAATCGAAAATTCGACCAAAGCAACGGAGATCAAACGCCAGATGCAGACGTGGAGAGACCGAAGAAGCTTCGCACTGCCAACGAGAAATCCGCTTACCGATAATTGAGCATGTTACCAAGAGAGAATGATAGAATCGACTGGTTCGAAGAAGTTAACTACATGGTACGAATGAAATTCAGTCTGACCAGCAGGTCGGGGGTTTGATCCCGGTCGCAGCGCCTGCATTTCGATAGAGGCGAAATGCAGGAGGTCCGTGTACTGTGCCACGTCGGTGCAAGTAAAATAACACCGGATAGTCGAAATTTTCCGAGTCTGCCAAGAGAGCGTCTATCATAAATTATATCTCAGTTTGAGGACTAAAAACATCATATACGTGTGCGATTACTACGGCTGAAACAGCGAGAGGGACTGTGCGGGACTGCGTGGTAACATGGCATCACTAAACATTGCTTTGTGTAACTTAACGACCACCGACACCGTCAACCTAAGAAGAGGGAACGTTGTTTATAGTAATTATAATACAAAAGTGAACAAATAAAAGTGGACGAAAAGGCAAATTACCACCAGCAGGTACCGAGCCTACCTTAAATATACGATATTGTCTCTTCTCGACTCTGCAAGTTGGTGTTAATAATACATAATAACCGAATATACTTTGCGGGGGCTGAGCGACAGAAGTGATGAGAGGCTACTCTTCCTAGCTCACGACCGTAATATCACATTCGGACCGTATTCCTGGGCCATATACAACATTTGTCGGCCACCTGGAACGGCCTGAGGGTTCATTCTCGTCATCTCTCTTGGCCCTAACCCACCTACCCACGTGACCCATTTTATGGGATCAAAAAGTGGTTTCCTCCTTCTTTGGTTGCAACTTAATTGGAAGCATTCATTAGAACCACAGCGCCGAAAGGATGTGGGCTATAGAAATCCGACAAGTATGGCCGCTTTGTCATTGCTCATTTTTGTCGTCTTTTGTATCCACGTGACTTTAGCGCAATCCTTTCTATAACTGTTGCAGTAATCAGCATCAAGTAATTAGTGTTCTCATTTTTTGCCTCAGTGGTCGACGCATCTGGCAAGTACCCGACAGGCCTCTTCCAGGGAACCTTATCAGACCTCGGAGCGTTCGACCAGTGTGTTGAGACTCTGGTACATGACCAATTTGGCAACGAGAAGGTTCGGGGCCAATACTGCAACCTATACATTCCCATGACCAACGATACACGACCGCTGGAGTACGTGGCATCAGCTCTCCGCATGTCACATCCTCGGGTAAGCAAAGAAAGCAGCTGGAGTCCTGCTTCGACGGTCTTCTATTACGCCGTGATAAAGTGTGCGTATGTCGTCACTTATCATCCATTTTCTTACCCCTTTACTTTTATTTTGATTGCGCTTTATTTTCTCCACGCATTCACAGTTATGCCCATTTCTCTCTTTCTTTTTTTTTTCTCTCTCTGCCTCTTTTTCACCCCTCACCGTACTATTAGACCCACTAAAGCCATTGGTTAGAAAACGTGGGCTCACTGAGAGCTTACATAATGGAGATTTTATAGTAAAGAACATTCAAAAAATATGATAAGTAAAGCTGAATTCAATGGGCACGTTCACGAAAGCATGAAACCAATTGCCTAATGACAAGTGGTCTGCGCCACCAAAGGATTTTCTTAATGCACATTTATCGAAAAAGCGAAGAAAAAGCAAAAAATAAAAACTTTTTTCACAGTGTGGAATATACAGACTAGACGTTGTCGTTCTGAATCCTGCATACTACGGCGAATGGCGCAGCTTCGAAAGTTGCCGTAGTGTGAGCACTAACGTAAAAAGAAAGAGTTGTTTTTCTTCTATTTTATCAGCAACCAAGTCGGCAATATTTATTAGAACTGACTAATTTATTTTAAAGCTATACTCGTATAATTGTACTAATCAGTGGTTGTTTGTTTTTTTAGTAATGCACATTCGTCAAAGCATGTCACAATAAACTATGTGACGAAATTCTGTATTCATGCTTCAACCCGCATTTAGCTTGTACTAATTATGATTGCCCATATCCCGATATCAAAACTTGAAAGACACTCTTTGCCCTGAAGAATATGAAACACGACCGCGTAATTGGGCTCCGCTCACATTGCCTTCTCAGTTGCTAGCTTCGCTTCAACTGTTAGGGGCCACTTCAATTGTGCCGCAAGGAAAGGAACGCCTGTGATCGTAACATTATTTGTTTCAATTTATTATAGGATGGCTACTTCGAGGGTGGTCACTAAGTGCCCACTACTACGCCATAATTCTTAATTTGTGAATTGGTGCAGTACCCACTACACAAGCGTAAAGAACGCACCCTACTGTGCCCCTGCACACTTTGTTGATGCTACTGCTCCCAATTATGATTAATTATGCCTTTGTGCTGTATAATAGGTTTACACTTAAATTAACCACTCGTTGCGCGATTCCCAAGTTTGGATGTCTGACGCGATTCTACGCTTCCGCTACGCAATATTACACACAATAAGGAGACTCCTCCCAATGTACAGCATTCATATAGCTTTTTTTATTGTTCAGGGTGCATATACTAACTTGTGAAGTGAGAACTTATTATTTCAGCTGCATCAAAACGTTGCAACATGTCACATATAGACCAGCTTACACTCTTTACCGCAACCACCATGACCCGTGTGCTTAGAAGAAATATTCCTTAACACAAAATAAAAAACCTAGCGATTATATTTCTTATCTCATAAAAATTTGCAAATTTATAAGTAACGTTTGCATTATATTAAAACCGCAGTCTATACCATACATAAGCATGCCGAAATTGTGGAATAATAAATGCGCGATTGATCAAAATACCAAAAATTTGAAATTGCAACAAGAAGTCACTAGGTGTTTGTGTCTCCGCCACCGAATGCGGAAGTAAACTGTCATTAATTATTTATTTTCATTTTTTATCATAAGCATTTATTACTCCATCTCGTATTCAGTGTTCAGCCCTACTTGTGTCGGTTTTGCATATGTGCCGCCGCACACCTGAGTGCTTACGCAGTACTTGTGCATTCAAAAGTAAAGCTTGAATTGCCTCAACAGAGCTCTTGAGGTTTAATGACGATTTGCCATTTGTCGGGTGCCTTTGCTAATAAAAAAAGTGTTGTATTAAGAACTCAAGTTGGGAAACTTCTATGTTATTTATGGTGCGAATCAAGCATGGATCTAACACGAATGACACAAAGATAGCCCTTTAGTCAGACACAAAAATAATAATAATAATCGAGGACATTCACTTTCTGACTTTGTCGCTTGATTCAGAGATGTTGTTTAATCCTTAAAGTTACTTATTGCTTTGTTTTTACGCTGTCAGATTTTTTCGCAAGAATCCTCTGTAGAAGATAGCACGAAACTGCCCACTGAGATTATTCGAAACGGCGACCATTCATTACACTATACTAACCGTGAACCAATATGCATCCCTAAAGAATTTTAGAGCCGGTTATCCTGGACTAATTAAACTTCGCATAGCTTTCCTTCTCTATCATTTCTCCTAAAGCCGGGGATTTCGCAAGTCGTACACACTTAGGATGATCTTTTATACGAACGCCAGTTGCCTAAACAACAGGAAAAAACGAACTGTTGTTTTATTCACGTTTCTTACATTAAATGGTCTTGTTCTAGCAGATGCCTTTAGGTAGTATACAAGGAATTATTGGTCAGCTGCCAGGTCATAGAAAAGATCCCGTGATACGTGACGCCAACAGGAAAAATGGTATTACGCACTCGTCTCCATGGCAGTGGTCGGCGCTAAAACTTCCAGGTTTAAATGCGCAGATATACACTTTAAAGTGGATGGGAGATGACTGCCGCTGTAGCTCAGTTGGTATAGAGCTTCGAACGCGTATTTAGATGCCAAGTTCGGTCTGTGCCAGCGGCAACTTACTTTTTCGTCCACTATGTCGACGTTATCATTATGATTTTTAGCAAAGAAAATTTTATATACCTTCCCTCGCATTGTCGTCTGTTGGTTGGCATTATTATTTTGCCTAAAAAACAAGCCCTTAAAATTCCCTTTTTTTTTCTTTTTACACGATTGAACTCGGTATACTGGAGCGCCGATATATTTTTGAACGCATGGCTCAACACTAGTGTCATCCTCTGAATTCACTCCGAGCAAATGATGCCTTTAAAGCCATCCGATGGAACTGGTGTATTGCAATATGCCTTTCAAATTATAGAATACAAAAGTTATTTAGTGAAACATTGTATTTTAAGGAAAATATATATAAAATATCTTCTAAGTATAGCACGCTTCTGCAGTAGGCTAATTTAGCTCAAGAAGTATAAATGGGCTAGAAGCCACCAGTGACTTTTGACAAATTTTGTAAAGGACCCCTCACCAGGTCTTCACATTTCAAGCTGACAAGCACAACGCTTAGGGTACGGTAGGGCAAAATGCGATGATATTTTAAAATAGTGAATATATACTTTTATTACACTCTTTATCATTAAACGTCAATGCAGAAACTTTCCCTCGAGTATAAGGTATGTGCTGCATAAATATAACCATGTTGCCGCAGTTCAAAAGATGAATAAAAAACAAATAAAATAAATCAGTTGTTTTGTTTTGCCTCACAGGTTGGGGCAAAATGAGACACCCGATAAATTTTTTTATTTGCCGAGAGCACTGTAAGAGCGCACTGCTCATTTTGCCCCAGCCGGTGGGGCAAAACAGCATAATTTGCATAAACAAAAAATCTGCTGAGTTGTTTCAGTAGAAATACCTAAAATTCACTCCGTAGGCTATCACGCAGTCTGCATAATCCCACTTTTTGCACTCCACGCATTGAATCCCGACAGACCCCAATGCTCTCTCGCATTGAAATTCTTTGCAGATCAAACACCGTCAGTCTTTCTTTGTGGCAATGTTGTCTTTTTTGAACAATTGCACTTAACCATTCAATTGTACATATGTTCTGACACCTCTTCTTCACCTTATTTTTTTCTGTTTTGATACCGAACTGCACGGGCTATTCGTGGCTTTCAATTTTGTCAGCCGGGCTTCGTGAGGCGATGAATTTTGGGTTTTCTCTCGTTTGGTATTTTTAAAACTTTGGTATAAAAAAACCTCATTAAAGCTCTGTTCTAAAACAACTTTTAACGCGTTTAGTTGGAGATTCTTTCCATTTGTCATGCGCTTTTTGAAAGGATCGTTTGGAATGCGGAATATCCTCGACATAGCTCGAATGGAGCGAGTCCTCTTCTCAACAACAATCAATGTTTGTTCATATCGTTTTCTCGTCAGGAAGCTCTATATCATATTCTACTGTGCGTCCTAATCCTACTAAGCAAACAATTATAATACATGAAATGTGTAAGTAAATGTTTCACTTACTAAGATACTTTATAAGGTAGCTTGATGTCTTTTTGTTGCCTCTTCCCTCTTTAGCACGTCCAAATTCAAGCTTGAACATTTCCGCTTTTGCCCCTGTCCCAAATTAACTAAAATTTGCCACTATTTAGCTAGAAGTATGAAGTAACTTAATAAATACTCACATTGTTGTCCTGACGCCAGAGTAGCTTTATGTATGGATTGGAAAATTTTGTTGAGCATAATTTCACCCCTTTTTGACAGGTCACTGACATACTAACACTAGCCACGTAATTTTTCCCGCGGGAACGCTGCAAAAAATTATCAACTTTTACACATGAAAAGATAGACAAATACTAGCACTTACTGTTAGAAAAGTAAAAAAAAAACAAAGAAAAGTATTTTAAAGTATTAGCTACAGAGGCCAGCAGAATCAAAATGTCCGGTTTTTCCCCGTCACTCGTTTTTGCCCCCCCCCTACGCCACATGACGAGCACAGGATCGCGCATGTCTGCCCCGCGTTACATGAGTATGTGCCGCCGAAAAAGCTCAAACTTTAAACTGAACGGCGTCTGCTTGTCTTCTCGCGGACTTTGTGCTTGAAAACGGGGCGATGGCGTACGACACTGAATATGATGCAGATGAAGGTGTGGTGCCACGCAACCAAGAGAGCCTCGATGTCCTCCACGCCCGCCACTCCGTTTCCCCTACTGAATCTTGCGCGTCCTGTATGGGAGAGTGCAGGGAAGGGTTTTTTTTTTTTTGCAAAAGTTAAACAGACAAAGAGCCAAGGCTGTGAAGCACGCTTCCTCACATCATAATTGCGCACCACTTCAAAAATTTTCTTTATCGACCTTTATCCGTCCCGCTGCAAGTTTTGGGTGGTCAGAGCAACCCTCGAACATTTGTTATGGGAGTGTGACAGAGGTCAAGGCCTCAGACGGGGACGCAGCCTTGAACTGAAAGCGCTGGGAGAGTGCACTGATGCGCACGACCCTGCAGGACCAACTGTGGTCGGTCAAACGGGCCGCGGCAGTCGCCAGAATTCAAGGGCTCGTGGCCAACACCTAGGCGGAATATTCAGCCCAATTCCCGAATAACTTTTTTTCTTTTCAATAAAGTTGCCTCTGTCTCTCTCTGCTTAAAGGAATCAATCTGAAAAAAAATTCCATACAATTTGATTTGTTCAGCACGTAACGACCTCCCGTGCAGGACACGTTTGCGATGTGGACTTGTCAAGGGGCGTTTAGCAGTGGAAAAAAATCCACAGCATATCCAGGGAGTGAAGGATGATGACTGGGTCAAAGCGTCCGTCCATCCATTCATCCGTCTGCCTGTCTGTCTGTCCATCCGTCTGTTTTGTTCATTCGTCCATCCGTATGTTTGTGCGTTTTTCTGTCCGTCCGTGAATCAGTCCATCCGTCTATCCATCCATCCGTCGGTGCTTCCACCTGTTTTCCGTCCATGCTTCCGTCCGTCCGTCCATTCGTCCGTTTGTTTGTTTGTCTGTCTGTCTGATACTGCAGATTGCTCTTAATGCAGATGTAGGTTGAAATATACCCCCTCTCCTATCTTATTCAACATCATAGTTACTTGTTTTGTTTAGAAGCAGTTTCGCGTAATTATTTGTTTCAGACGGCCGAGTTCGCCATCGGCAGTTCCGGCATATCAATGATCCAAGGTGCCCGTCTAGGCATCTGCTTCATCAGTGACTGCAATGAGCAAGACATCGAAGGCGTCATCAAAGCGAGTGAGTGTATCCGCTCATCAGCTCCTTTTGAGATCAATGTATGCGTGATTGACTTCAGGGAGAGATTCACCACTTGACACTTGTGCCTTCTTATCGGTTGTTTCTTCAAGTGGGTTTCCGTTTTATCACAGTAAATGAAGCATGCGAAACGAATCTAGTGCTTTGTGGTTCGTATTTTCTTGGTCAACCGTCTCTCAGTTGTAAAGGAAAACGGTGCTTAACAAAACTATAGGGGGCAACGGACAATTCAGCTGCGGTGAATAAAAGACAACTTAAGGGCGGGTGAACCTTGTCAATAAGTGAGTAGACCACGTAACGTACGTATTGCGTAATGACCGTTATTAATGTTGTAAAAACCTCTGCATAGGAGCCCATGTCATTAAGTATTCTTTACGTACATATTTTACTGCTGGACATAAAACTAGGAAGGTTATAATCAAAGCAAAAGAGTCCAACCAGGCCGTAGTTCTTAAACAATAGCTCTTAAGTACTTCATGATAAGCACACCATTAATTCTAAAGTTGTTTGCAAATGTAAATTACAGTAGCTTATCATATATAGAAAGATACACAGAGCGACATAAAGGTCAGTACACCTATGAAGATCAGCAGACTTCTCAACATGCGTTTTTTAAGAACCAGCGCACGTAATGAAAGAAAAAAAAACTAGATAAATTAAGTGTAATCAACCGCAACACTGGTACTTGATATTCGCACTTTGGCTCGGCTGCCTAACCCAAGGTCACGGGTTTAATCTGGGCTGCAGTGATCACATTTCGACGGAGAATAAATGTCCGAGCAGCGAGTACAGTGCGATGTAAGTGCACGTTAAAAATCACAAGATGGTCGAAGTTTTGGGAATCTTCTACTACGGCATCCCCCAGAATCACATCGTGGTAGAGGGGAAAGAGTGAAACCTTAGATAATTTTATAATTATTATTATTATTATTATCAAACCAATATCATTGTTAATTTGCTGCGTTCGCAATATAGGTGGTATCTTTTTAAACGCTACTGCTGTTTGTATTTGTTTCTTAACTCACAAGGAGAACATTTGCAACCAGTGTGTAATATGATTAACGTTAACACGAAAACCGGCTTCCTCCTTTTTTTTTGCAGTGCTTGGAGACTTGGTTGATATAAAGGTCAAACACTGCGTTACCAACGAGCCGAGGCCCTGGACAACCACGCAGATATCCATTGTGTAAGACTTGCTGTTTCACTTTAAAGACAATAAGTAGACACTCTGTATAAGGAATCGTCTACTTTCATGCATATTGCTACGCTAAAGTCGTGTGCAACAGTTGAACAGCGAAGGGGCAAACTTTTTGTGTTGGCATGAAAAACCAGTTTGGAATCTTGCGTCTCACTGGACTGATCGATGCCTCCACAGTAGCCACTGAGTTGCTAGGCAGATATGTTGATGAAATAACGGCGATAGAATGGACCCAGTGACCTTTTGATAACCAATAATAACCAATTTATGAAGGTAACAAGGCTTGACGTGATGAAAAATTTTTGAACGGGGGCTATCACTCAACGTTTCGACAAAGGCATGTCAGTCAACGTTTTGACAAGGACATTTGCCATCGCGCAATGAATACAGGGATGAATTGCTATTTGAGATTGAATGACAGTTTGCAGTAGCACCCTAGGGCGCTATGAAGGATCGCTCGACCTTGGCCAAAGCTCGAGATCTTTCTGAGCTTTAGCGAGACCCCTATTTGAATGAGCCAACAGTGCAAAAAAGTCAAATACACCCCTCAACACGCTGCGTTTTATTGGTTACGGTGGAACCTGGCATTGCATCTAGGATGGTCGACAAAACTGGGTGGTGTTTTAAAACCAGAGGCGTCTTTTAGGGGCGCAGCTCCTCTTAGTCTAACCTTGTCCTACATCAGGTGTAACCAAACGAAAAAGAAAACGAGAAAAAATCACAGCACATCCATGGAGTGAATGGTGATGAGTGGGGCGAAGCATCCATCCGTCCATCTGTCCGTGTGCCCAGCCGTCCGTGAATGCGTCCATGCGTCTGATCGCGTTCGAGAATGCAGTCGGCACGCGGGTAACACCGCCGAGATGCGAGTCAAGGAAGCCGAGTGCAAGCGTCTTCAACGCGCCTGCCGCTCTGCTTCGTTCATGCCCCCCACCAACGATCTGCTATGTACGGCGACTATTTAGAAGACTGAAAGAGGCATTAGTTCTACGCGTAACCAGACAGCCCGCGCAGCAGCCAATCGGAGAGTAGCGGCAGAGTAACGCCATCAAGGAAATGAGACGAGAAATTGTCCTCCATTTCTTTTGCCTTCTTTTCTTTCTCGTCTCTTCTCTCGGTTACGCGTGACGCGTGACAAGGTTAGACATAGAGGAGCTTTGCCCCTAAAAAAGGAGAGAAGTATCTCCCGAACAGTATAATAGATGGCGTTGTCTCACAGACGTTCATACAAACTGCAATCGAAACATGGGTGCATTTGCATGGGTGGATTTTTGCACTCAATGGAATGACAAACAAATGAAAAAAAATCCCAACATATCTACGGAGTGATTGATTATAAATCGGGCGTCCATGCTTGTGTCCATCCGTCGATGAATGCGTCTGTACGCCCATGCATACGCCCGTCCGTGTGTCTGTCTGTCTGCGTGTCTGTCTTTTTGTCTGTCTGGCAATGAGCACGAGCCATTGTGCCTCCGCGCATCTTCGTCCATGCCCCACCAACGAAGCGATGAGCATGAGCCGCCACGGCACTCCGCTGCAACGTCCGTGCTCCACCAACGATCCGCACACGTACGATGATGATCCAGGACACTGAGAGAGACGCTCGTTTTCCCTACGCCCGCCGGCACGGCCCGTGCGCAACCAAATGGAGAGTAGTAGTACAGTGCCATCTAGAATATCATTTGATCGATTGATTGATTGATTGATATGTAGTGTTTAATGTCCCAAAACTACGATATAATTATGAAAGACGCTGTAGTGGAAGGCTCCGGAAATTTCGACCACCTGGAGTTCTTTAACGTGCACCCAAATCTGAGCACACGGGCCTACTAGAACATTTCCGCCTCCATGTGAAATGCAGCCGCCGTAGCCACGATTCGAGCCCGTGACTTGCGGGTCAGCAGCCGAGTACTTTAGCCACTAGACCACCATGGCGGCGCAGCCTTTACAGTTCAGCTGTTTCAGGGAGACAATGTACAATTGTACAATGACAAAGGAAACTGTGTTTTGAATAAATATTGTTATTATTGAAGAGTAGAGATACAATTCAATCTAGCGATTTGCAATTCACGTGTTCACCTCTTCTCGTAGGGCTTTCCTGGGCATTGTCGTGACTGTGATAACAGCTAGTAGCGTCTTTGATTACTACATAAAATATCAGCAAATCAAGAAAGGTGAGTTTTTTTTCTTCCGTGAAACTTTACTAAAGAACTGTGGATATGATGTTTCCGTTCATATTTTTTTTATATGTAGCGTAGGACGTTCAAGTTTCACGCATAAAAATTATGATTGACAAATGAGCGCGGCACAAAGTGTCTTCAAAAAGACCCAGATTGTACGTTGTCACTCCAATCACATTAAACTTAAAGCTAAGCTTCTTAGCAGCTTTTAGAGTTCTTTACTTATAGTTTCTTAAGAACGCAATATTTTGAAGCTCTTCAAGGGAATTTCTCCATGTATTTGGAAGCGCGGATCAATATTAAGCGAATGTCTTGCGCTGTGTAAAAAAGGATTTCTACCTACACCTTACTGTGGTGCATCGCGGCGAGAACAGGAAGTGAAATAAGACGACCTAACATGTACGCGAACGTGTCATAGCTAGACGAGAAGCTGTGTGCACCAGAGAGTGAAGGTGTTGAGTGTACCTAAAGTAGTATGTGGCATGCCTGCGGCGTCGCTGTTAGTCTTAAGTAACTTTAGATGACCTTGCTCTTACTTCCGATGCAGAATGTGTACATTGCACCGTAAAATGTGTGTTTCATTTTTACTTTCTCAGAAGTGTTTGCAAAAAAAGCACCTGTGCTCGCTTTGTTTTCTAAAATCTAGAAAAAATTGTTAGTCGTAATTAGCAATGATCAAAGCGTGTCTTAATGCGCTGATGTCCGCCGAAAGTATTTTTAAACACAAGGAGATGGTTGTAAGAAGAATATCAAGTTGAACAAACATCGTATCTTATAGGCATTTCCCGAACACTCGAGTTTTATCATTGCGACACAGGCACCTGAGTCGAATAAGGCTTTCTTAAACAGGTATTCTAGCTCGGAAAATTAAAATTGGGGGAGGGTGTTTCATGGAAGCAGCTTCAGGCACAGTTATAGACAAACAACCCCTGTTTTGGACATAAGCATCTGTTTGTGAACTGGTGTGAATGGAATCATTTGAAAATTGGACTACATGCGTTTGTGGTCCTAGACAGCCTATCTGTTTCTGCTGCAGACCTCTAGAAATTAGATTATAGGCAAATGCTTATTTTGCCTCTCGCGTTCTATTTATGCCCTTTGATATATGAGCATAAATTAGAGGTTAGGAAGGCTTTTATACAGTTTGTATAGTTCCTCTAAATGCCTATTTTGGATGTTTGTGCAAAGTTTATAAGTCCCAATAAATGCCTATTTTCGGAATTGATGCCGATATGAACACTATTTAGCCTCAAATTTTGCTTTCAAGTACAGTTGGAGATGTTACCGGGCAAAATTGAGCTTTCGGAAATCTATGGAGTGCAACCTGTACTCCATCTCAGAAGTTCCTTTCAGCCCTATTTAGGCTACGATGCCCCTTATCCCGCCAAGTTGGGGCGAGCGCCCATGACATGAAGGGCAAGTGGCGTTCGTTCTGACAATTCACCTCTTTCTGGGGCGCGTAGCATTGCATATCTTCGCATACACGATAATTAGCACCCTGTCCACGCATTTCTATTGCCTACTAGAAATGCTCAAACCTTGTGAGAGTTATGGAGTTCACAGACAGAGGAGAAATTGTACGATTAGACCTGGTTAATATGAAGCTTAAAGACCCTTCTGGCCTGTTAGTGGTCTGGCGATTAACTTCTGCACTGCCCTTCTTAGCCAAGCCGAAAAGAAAAGGGCCCAGGAGCATGTTTACTCGACTGTGCACACCTAACTTACCATTCTTGACAATGAAAGGGAAGACTGTTCCGCAAACCCAGTGGAAAAGAAATTACATGGCTATGCTAAACCAATGGTGCTTTTGTACTATCATTAGATGAAACATTTCTCTTTGCTTTCCGGTCTATAGACACAGATCACGTACATACTTGTACGTGATCTGTGTCTATGTGATAATATGTGTACGTACATATTTGCACAAGATTTCATTTTGTGTAAAAGTTTATTGTGCCTATATTTACTATTTTGGTGGCCTGAAACAGTGCTTTGCCTGCGTACCTTTGGCGCCTAAAACTCGAGTTTTAGTGCCTATAAATGCAGCCTACTTATCACCGCAGTTATAAAAAGTAAAATACCTTACAATTGTGTCATGTAACTCAGCACCAAGTGCCTTTGCAGTAAAGGATTTTTTTAAAACTTCACTCTAGCTGGGTTTTCTATGTTGCAACACATTGAAAATAATGTCGCCCGAGTGCCAGCAATATTATACCAAAAGAAAAAAAAAACGTAATTTTTTTTCAGGACCCCTACACAGAGCGCTCTGCGCTTTTTCATTGGAAGCGAATATAGAACTCCTGTTGAACACAGGAAGCGGAAAAGAATCAGAAGCAAGCATGTACAGATTTCTTCATGGGATGCGGATCTTCGCCATATACTCAATTGTTCTTGGTCATTCGTACAGCTTTTTTGATCCCTTAGCTGTGGGTGAGTACACTCATGCCTTCCAAGTTTTGTAAAATCCTTCAAACGCATTTTAAAAGTATTTGAATGTTGAAACACCGAGGTCTAGTAAAATGATACATACTTAAACGAAAGTGCCCGATAAATGGTACAGTTGTCTCTGCTTTGGCTGGCCAGCTACATACATAATGCTAACAAAAGTTTGTTTAAATATAACGCATCTTTCGTAACGCTTTATTCAATGTCATTTAAGCAAGGACTATTGAACATCTCATTGATATATGAAACTGAAAAAAATTCAGTGCACAAATTACACTGTGATGTTATAAATGTTAGGGAAACTCCAAAAGGTTAAGCAGCTGCGGGGCTAGGTAATGAAAAAAGCATGGTTGATTCCTCCGTCATAGGAATCGGTAAAAGACGGACTTGAAGCGTCTCCTTTCAGATAAAGTTTTGTACTCACTACACATTAATATAATGGAGCTTATATAATATCTGATGGTTTTTCACAACTAAATTTTAACACCATTTTTTGTACCTAAGTGAAACATTCCATCCCGATTACTATAATGACCTTGAATAATGATTGAATAACTATTAAATACGCCCTTGGGGTCATAGATGCCTGTGGTCGTTCTAGTAGTAAACAATGACAGCTGAACCAAAGAATATGGTGTGACAGCTAGCAGAGCGCGACTGATTGTACGCCAAGGTGTCAATCACCTGTGGCGTTTTTCCGGATAGAGTTGGCACATACCCGCTCACGAGTATGTGCATCTTACCTCCCTATTCTAATTTTGGTTCACGCCAAGTTTAGAGTATGATCCCTATATATATATATATATATATATATATATATATAATATATATATATATATATATATATATATATATATATATATATATATATATATATATATATATATATATATGCACGCTAAAAGTGATTGCAGTACTCAAAGAAATGTTTCGCATTTAGTACATTGTACTTTCGTGCATCAACCAATCCTTTCACAAAAGATGCAGTATTGGAAGCACCGCGTATTGGATTTTCTATCTTTTTTTATCAGTGTAATACCAATACCATAGAACACCCTGTCTAATAAAAACCACTGTGGAGGCTTTCAGTGCCTTTGGAGTGAATGAACCTTAGGATGAAGTACTTTTGTTATCTCTTCAAGTACCCCTGCAGGATCGTCTGCTGTTATCGCACGTTTGCAACGGGACACTTTAGAATGTATTCGCTTAAACAGACCAACAACCTATTGTTATGGTGCCATTTCTTAAGGGAACGAAAAGCTTACCAGCCAGTGAGTATTCAAGGAGTTTCTAAGTGGAAAACGTGGTAAGATAATTGTATTCAGAATTTTCTATCTGTAGCGAATATGACTAATGTACTCACTTGCTGCAAACGGTAAGCGTGAGAGTAGTTCGTGTTAGAGCGTGGTGGTTTACTGCAGATGCGTGCACCCTGAATGCATGCGCCGCGGCTCGATGGCAGTGCCGCTTCCCACCGAACAACTTCTGTATCGTCTTAAGCAGCGCAGAATTCAGCGGGGCTGGATAACAATATACATGCTCTAATTTTGAGAGCTGGCACTCATGAGAGCATCAGACTACGCGGCAATGTACAGCATGATAGACTCCATATTTCATAATCAAGATTCCTTTCTTCTCCGCTAAGCTACTCCACATCATGGTTTTTGTTACCTTTAGGTGTGAGTTAAAGCTAGAAGTCTTAATCAGAAAGCGAAAGGAATGCTTGGCTCTGACTATATTTCATGGTATTTTCATTTCTACTAGGAGCTCATCACACCTTCTGGTTATTTTTCGACCCCTTCAAACGAACTGAAAACGTAACATGACGCGTATTGCTATTGGTTCTAAAGAAGTAAGCTCATGATTGCTAATTCAAATCAAAGCAACTAAAGCAATAACGCCTGTGTCTGAAAATATAGTGGCCGCAATTTCAACTGATAATTTGACATTCTAATACAACCACTAGACAGCCCCGCCGCGGTGGTCTAGTGGCTAAGGTACTCGACTGCTGACCCGCAGGGCGCGGGTTTTGAATCCCGGCTGCGGCGGCTGCATTTCCGATGGAGGCGGAAATGTTGTAGGCCCGTGTGCTCAGATTTGGGTGCACGTTAAAAGAACCCCAGGTGGTCGAAATTTTCGGAGCCCTCCACTACGGCGTCTCTCATAATCATATAGCGGTTTTGGGACGTTAAACCCCACATATCAATCAATCAAAACCGCTAGACATCTCGTTTGGTTCAGCGACTCCGGACAATTCATACTTACGCAAATACTAATAACCACGTTGCAAGTGCCTCTTTTCGTAGACGCAACGGCCATGTCAAACGCAGTGTGATGGTGTCTACTATTATTTTTGGTAGATGCACTGGGAGTAAACAACAGAGTTGGGGTAGGCTTACTTTGCATAAGCTCCGAAATTTGTTCCAGAAATACTGCCCAAGCTCAACGCTTTCAGACCATTTATATTGCCTTATACTGATTACTGCGTCGTGAAGTGAACATGAAGCGAAAAAGTTTATTTTTCAGAAAAGCGAAGGACATTTATACATAAAATTGTCATGGTACGTCTGCGTTCTGTCACACATTGCCCTAAAAATTAAAGTTCGACTCTATAGTCAGAGGGAGCGTTTTAAACACGACTGTAAAGAAAGTGCAGTGGGGTGTTAATGCCCATATTGAAAACTACAAATATTTTTGTTTCAGCTCGAATAGTTAACATTCTCCATTATGCTGACACACTGGGATTCGGTTTCGTTCTGGCTGGTTACTGGGGTGTGGACGTGTTCTTCTTTATCAGGTACGAACCTACACTCATATAATGCATACACTAATGCCTATAAAATGCACAAATTCTTTGAAGGGGTGCCGCGGCTTTCCTGAGGTGTTTCGCCCTTTAGCCGCCGCTTCCTGCTTTGTAAAAGAAAGGAAAATGACACTTCGTTTCACTTAACGTCCAGGAAGCACTTTGCAGACATCAATAATTGATGCCGAAGTTATCAAGTTTGCTTCTTCGGGAGGCGGAAGCCACTTGTTTCATATTGTCTTATATACATAAAAAAGAACAATAAAACAGTTGAAAACGAAGAATACGTTAAGTACAATCACGTGAGGGATATCAAATAGACATTAGGCTTCTCGGTACGTGAGAAGGAAATGATACCGCCCTTGAAAAGGAGATGAGGTCCGCTTCCTGAAGGTTCGAGTGCCAACTAAAGGAAAAGTGGGAACAGGCTTTGTGATTTTTTACGTGAAACTGCATTTTACAAGACCGCACAAGCATGGGTAGTGTCGGAGTTTCAGCATCGCCTCAGTACAAATACAAAAGTCCGCAGTTTCTCCAAAATTCCGAAGCAATCAATGCGACAGAAACACACTGGAAGAGTATACGAAGTAGGACTAGCCGCTGTACGGGTGAAAAGCTTGCGCATTGTGCCTCCGAACTACGAAAACCTGACAAAAAACATGTTTCGCTGAGCTTAGCATGTCTCACTTGCAGCTTCATCTTGTTCTATAGAACCACATGCAGAACCACACGCACAGTTTTCGGAAACACGCGTACGAGGGTGATTTTTTTGTGTGTGTGCGTATTCACGCGACGCCACAAAAGCGAAGTGAACAGAGTAAGTAAGCTGGCGTGACCTTGGCTGAGCTTGAAGATCAGATTTCTGGCTTATTATCTGTAGGAGTAGAGCTATCACTGTAAAAAAATAAAAAAAAGAAGAGAAAGAAAAACCGTTTCGGAGTGCGTTTTTCTTCGCGAAACTGCGTGACATGATTCGAGAGAGATGTATCAGTTGAATACCATCGAGATAATATATGTGAAAGGAATACCTAGTGCCTATTAAATATAGTACCAATTTATTTGCTTGCCCTATGTTCAGAAAAAATAAGAGAAGAGATACTACAGACGTCATTGCAAAGTATGTTTATAGCTTGGGATTTTCGAGCGGTCACTGACCACTGACTCACTCAATGTTGCAAAAGCGGCGTACAAATACAGGAATGATATCACTGCGAACATGGCTAACCATACATATGTACACAGTAATAGTAATTTGCTTATGCGCTGTTAACCACAAACGGACTCTAGCTTACCCTAATTTCTGTCTTTATTCAGTTTAATTCTGCGGACTAATATAAGAAAGCATGAACTTGCACTAAAAACGTTATGGTAAAAAAATTAAATTCCAGCGTTTTACGGCCAAGATAACGATATGAATATGCACTGCGCCGTAGATAGGGGATGCTGAAATAATTAAGACTATCTGAGTTTGTATTAGCATGCATCTAATTGTAAGCACACGAATGTCTTCGCAGTTCATCCTCGTCGAAGTAGGGCTGATGAGGCCGGTTGTGTAAGCGGAGTCTTCGAGCTCAGAAATGCAGCAGCGTAGCCGCTAAGCTGCTCCAGTAATTTTCAGCATGCTACACGTGAACACACCACAATTTTTCAATAGTGGTGCACGTCCGCAAACCTCTGTTTTGCGGGAGTGACTTCATTTCTCGTTACGCCCGTGAAAAGGTAAAGCTTGCGGCAATGCATCAGGTGTCTCTGTGGTATCGTGTAAAAGGTTTTGTTTTGTTGTTAAGGAATGGTAAAAAACATTTCCGTGGATAGCCTGGCTAAACTTTTCTGCAATAGAAGTTTAATGTTCATAATACTCCTCTTCAAGTGTCTGCGGATGTTTTAACTCACTTTCACCGCTAGACAAATTCTGCGTTTTCACTAAAATACCTTTACGAGGTTTTTTTTTCATTTCTTTACCCTAAGGGCCCAACGGGGGCATTAAGCATAACATTTCATGTAAAGTGCAGATATAAACAAAATAAGGTAAGAAAAAAAAGGAAACAGTGAAGCAAAAATAGAAATTCCTAGCGTTGCACTTCTCATCAATCGACATCAACGTACTGCATTTATTTCAATACAGAAGAATTATACGCACATTGTTTGTCTTGCATATACAGGCATCGCGTCAACATGATTAGGACACACATTCTACATGTTAAGAATAATCGCTAATACTTCAAGGCTAAAATGTACCTTTATTAAAATGCCTAATTTAAAACGTTTTTAAATACTGCGTGGTCCGTTATTTCGGCTATGTTACTGGGGAGACTATTCTATTCTGAGATAGCTAGGTGTAAGCATGAAAACTGTAATAGGTTAGTGCGTGCAAAAGGTTGCTCAACCTTAAATTTGTGATTGATACGTAGAAAAATCTTTTTCGTGGGTACGATGTGTTCTTGAGAGAATGTACTTGGTTGATGAAAAAGCTGATAAAGAAAGGCTAACAGGCATATTTTTCTTCTAGTCTGCAAGGGGGTGAGACTAAGTTCATACTTTGTTTATGTGATGCTTGATTGCTGTGCATAACTACCAGAAATAAAACGCACCGCCCTATTTTGCAAAGATTACAGTTTGTTGATTAGATACATGTTGTGCGGGTTTCATATAAAAGAGGCGTACTCATGTGTCGGGTGGAGTATGGTAGTGTATGCAAGAGGTTTAGTACTACTGTCAGCCTGACGAAGTGTACGATGGAAGGAGCCAAGTGTTTTGCATGCCGCAGGAACAACAAAATCCACATAATTTTGCCAAGACAAATTAGTAGAGAAATAAATACCTGGATATTTAAACGATGCTGTGCTTTCTTAGGCTCCACCATTGAGAATGTAAGTTTCCTATGTAATTTGGCAGGAAGTGTTAAATCTCATAAGCTTAGTTTTAGTAATATTCGCGCCCTTTTGCCATTTTGAACACCATCGTTCAATCGTATACTAGTCATCTTTTAGCATAGCACAGTCATACTCACATCTTATTGGTCGGTACAAAACGCAGTCATCTGCATACAGCCGGATTTGTGAATGTAAACCTTTATGAATATCATTTATATAAATGAGAAATAGAGTCGGTCCTGAAACAGAACCCTAGGGCGTTCCGGAGATAACATGTCGAAATGATCAACGAACATTGTTAATCACAATGGCGTGCCGTCTGTTGTTTAAATATTCTTTGACCCAGTTGAGTACTTTTTCATGAATGTAAATCAGCCTCATTTTGTATAGTAGGTGGTTATGGGGCACGCAGTCAAATGCGTTTGTGAAATCAAGAAAAATAGCATCGGTTTGTGTAAGCTCATGAAAGTAGAGATTTATGTCTGTAGTTACCTCGAAAAGCTGCGATTCGCATGATTGGCCACGTTTAAAACCATGTTGGTTCGGAAAAATAATGAAATTACTTGTAATTTAGTGCATGATTTGAGACGATAAGACATGTTCAAGTAGTTTGCACACAACAGATGTTAATGATATGGGCCTGTAGTTGGTTAGTTTGGTTAGGTTGTGTAGTTGGTTAGTTCTTGTCACCACTTTTGTATATTGGTTTCGCGTGGGCTAATTTCACATAGCTAGCATCGCTCCACAGTACAATGTTTATGCGATCATTGACAGCAGATTTTATGTGGAACTTCATTAACATTTCATTGTCCTTGCAGTGGATTCCTAATGGTGTACAACATCGACAAATTATCGAGAACGCACCTGAATCGATTTTGTATCTGGCTGGTAGCAATTGTCCGCCGGCATTTAAGGTAAATGCTTCCCCCTCTTTTATGTCTGCCTAATCGACTTCATTGACAATCAGTGTTTATTATTTTATTCTGAGTCGTACAATAGTGTGGCAACTATGATAAACTTTTATTACAGGACGACCCCGCCGGTATTCTTCGTCATCATGTGCTGCTTCGTAGTGCCTGTGTTTGCATCCGGTCCTAACCTGAAGGCACTGATGGAGAAAATTCACACCGAATTCTCTAATGAGTGGTGGCAAATTTTGCTGCAAGTTCGAAATGTCGGCGACCGCAGACAACAGGTTAGGTATTACCATCAAAAACCACAAGCATAATTATAAGAATTTTAGAGCGGAGCTGTACAAGAATACCCGTATCTATCACTTACTTTGCCTGTATAAATACTAATTTTATTTGACATGGTACTGGGAGGTGAATGGCTTTCTTTTTGTTTCGTCCGTAAATGAAAAAAAAAATGATGTGCTAGTATAACAGTGAGTAACGTGCCGGGCTGAGAGAGTGTAGTTGTGGATGCTGTGGCAAGAATAACTATAGAACTCTAGTCAAGCAATCCTTTATTATTACGAGATTGTAGGAGAACTTAGAGTTATTTTTTATGTATGGGTACTTTTGCCGTGTTCTGTGAATACGTGTATTGCTGACCCGAGAAAAAGACAAACCGCACTGATATCAAGCTATAGCTTGTGCAAGCATGTCTGCTTCGGTAGAACAGTGACTATAGGCTGCTCCACTGGCGACTCGAAGGTCACTAGTTCAATCCCGGTGGTGGCGGTCGCATTTCAGTGGAGGTGAAATCCCAGAAGACCGTGTATACTGTGCAATATGAGCGCACGTTAAAAAACACCAGATCATCATAATGCACAGAGGCTCTATCGCGACATATCGTGATAAGAATGACACTTGAAGAAATAGATTGCCTTCCTGTCGCGATGGATCCTATGCACGTCAAGATGGTGTTTTTCTTTCTTTTTCATGTATAAGCCTCCGCGTGTCTACGAATAATTTCAGCCAATAGCTTTCGCTCATCTCTTGTGTTTCTTTATTGTCCTCGTGTTTTGTTTTTGCGCAGTGTTGTTTTTTAATTCAGTACATCATGACTCGCAGTGCGAGAATTTTTCACGATTTAGCCCGTTGAGACGAAGGCATCAGGCATGTGCCTCTATCACTACGTTATAAAACATAATTAATTTCTTTTTAGAACTGATTTATTAGATTAGATGAACCATGCTGCTACTGTCATTCGACGTAAACAAACCTTATCAGCAAAAAAAAAAAAGCGCACATATTACGCACTACACGTGCGCTATAAGTACTTTATAAGTGTCTAACAATTAAAGTCAAGTTTTTTAGCACATGTTATATATTATCAACTTTATTTTCTTTTTTCTAGGGATTTCTAGGGTTGTTGTGGTTTATATCAGTAGACTTCCAGCTGTTCATGGTCGCAATGCCGACAGTTTTGATACTTAAACGGTGAGTATCATTCACATTAGTGAACTTGTATTTCTTTAGGACACACTTTAGACGTCATAACTGATTGCGAATATTACGACTTGTATATCGAAGCCGCAACATTAAAATAGAGCCTCAGTTTTTTGAAGTATTACTACAACACCTCTATCTTTTTCAATGCCCGCCAAGTGCGCTCGATCCAGCTATTGACCATACTCTCCTCCAGCCCATTCCTGCTATCGCTTATTCCCTAGTTATTGCGTGTGCTTTGCGGTGACGGGATAGAGAACCCATCATGTGTTGCCTCACGACAGAAATTATATGAAATGATTTTTTGTCCAGTTATGTACAGATCCGTGTGGCGGCGTGTTGCATTCCTCGTGTTCACAATATTGGCCGTCACGCTGGCTTTGGAAGAGATAGGGTGTTTTGAGATAGCCTGTCGCAATTTGTTGTGCTATGCGGGCCAACAACACAAAAGCGTCATTGTGACGCTGCTGCATGCGCTGACTTCAAGAGCGCTACGAGACCGCAGTGGCATTGCTTCGAGCCACAAAGAAAGAGCATGAACGAAGGAACAAATCTGACAAACGTAAAGGAAAACATCGCACCTCCGAGGTAAAGCGCTTGGACGTATGTGTATTGCAAGTGGCCCTACCTAAAGCCCCTAAAACTTCGCAGTAGCGACGTATGTGGTTATTCACGCACCTCCCCTTTTTTCCTCCCCCTCCGACCTCTCCGAGGCGGACGCCGCATCAGTATTGGCCAGGTCCCGTCACGTGGCACCACTAGCAGTATTCATTTGTTTACAGTCGCTCGCGACTGCCATCTTTGCTCTGGAGGTGTGGACTACTTGAGGAACAGCACATCTGTTTTGACCGATACGAACAAGTCCTTCGTTGCGCGCGGTGCTGTGAAATACTTTTCATCCAAAAATGACGTCGCTGTTCGTTGTCGTAGGCGGTTGTTGCGCTTCAGCTGCAAGAACAAGTCTAGTTACGGCCAAAATCTCTATATGACAATGCCCTTTAAGCGTAACCAGTTGCGACAAAAAACATAGTCACGTAGAATCGAAAGTGAGAACTTCAGGCTTACATTTTTTAATGCACTTGGCGAAGTAATTGGCGCGTCTCTTATTATGACTCGGTATGGTTCAGTGTTTGTTCAATTCAATGCCTGCTGCAATGCTGCAGAATAGCCGCGCAGTTAATTGTGCTGCAGGACGTCGTGATCTCTAACTCAGGGTTAATTAACGCTTCAGCGGGGGCTGCTTTTTTTGTCAACAATACATGCTTACGGGTTCTGCTTGTCGTTATGCACCGATTGGTTTTAGTTAGCCGTACTGGTTTGCACGTTTAGAATGTATGTGGAAAAGCGCTCGAAATTGTGATTGTGAAACTTCAGAGATTTCACGTTGCTGCTTTGAATAAAGAAAACTTGAGTGCTGTAAGTCACATGAAGATTGGTGCTCTTCGTTGAATTCTGTTGCCGCGCACGCATACATTTCAGGGCGAATTGGTATTTGTGGCTTTTTTACGTTGACCGATCAGCCGGGGGAATCGTGATGCGAGGGCAGCTATGCAAAACGTGCATGCCTTCGAGCCATTGGGTGCGTGCATTGTTCAGGAACCTCACACATTCGTGTCATTTCATGTGATGGTTTGTTTGCTCTTTCGTGTGAAATTTATATCTGCGAGTGGAGCTCTCGCGAAGTAATCGCGTATAATGGCACGCTAGTTCATTCATACGCATGCTCAATCTTTAGGCAATATAGTTCGTATGTGAGATACGTCCACAAGGCGCACTTTCAAAATATAATTGTACCGTCTAACCCCTACAGAAAACAACCACAGCTGTTCGAATGTATAAACGGCGCTTCTTCAAAGATATCAAGGCTGCCTCACCAAACGCTAAAATTGGGCAGCGTCAACGCGAGTTGTTGCTTTTACTGCATGACAGTCACTGTGAATGCTCTCTGCACATATTGTATACCCTTTGTACGGCGGAGCTACCACCATCCATGCGCTGAGTAAGGAAGTAAGAAAATGCAGTCACACTGTACCTTAAGGCTATCGTGCTATCGTGCCAGCTAGCAGAAGGGTAAGCCATAGCTGCCACACATGAACGTTTGAGCAATGTTATTTCCAGTGTAAAACTTATTCGAAGACGCACTAAATGGAGGGCAAAAAAAAAACCCGAGGTTCTACATTTGAGAATATAGGTGATGCGCTCAAAGCTAACATACGGTCACAGCGGCGATGAGCGACTCGATTAAGGTCTGATTACAAGTACGCATTGTGCGTGGCAATAAACAGAGCTGTTAGGGGCTAACAATACACTCGTTAATGTGATTTTAGGATGAGTTAGACGGCTGGCGCGAATGCTTTCACAGCACTGCCTGCCAAACAAGCGCTTTCTTTGTCGAAGGGCGTCTGCTACGCAGGAGCAAGGCAGGTGGCGCTACGTTCAAAATGCGAGTGCAAAAGAGAGTAGTCCGAGGAGAAACGCGATCAGAGGAGGAGAGTGCTGCTACTTTGCGAAGTTCTAGGTCTTTTAGCCCTACCTAGAGTTACTGTAGCATGTACATTACCTCTAGTCCTACCTTACATGTGGCGTCACATCGCGACCACTCCTTAAACTAAGATGGAGTGACGGCTCCCATTGTGGAACCCGCGTTTTCACTGGCACTGAAAAAAAATACAAGAGGTGTTGGCTATCATATACATTGGCAGCGTATAGCATGACCTCTTCTTCTCGATTTCGTGTTTTTTTTGCAATATAAATAAGCGATAACACTGGGTAGGGGAAACTGGGAATTTTCTGGAGACCCTTTCGTCCTGCAGTGGACTAACAAAGGCTGAGAATTATGATGATGACGATGTAGTTAGGTCAAGCTCTTTACGTGTTAGTCCAGCTGTACAGGTACGCATTTGACTGCCCCTGACCTATGTGGACCCGCTGGCCCTTTCACGTGCAAGTGACAAGTACTATGAACTTGGTGGTGGCGCTGGTCAATAATAATAACTAGCGTTTAACGTCCCAAAACCTCTATATAAATATCAGAGGCGCCATAGTGGAGGGCTCCGGAAATTACGACCACTTGGGATTGTTTAGCGTGCACCTAAATCTAAGCACACGGGCCTCAAGCATTTTCGCCTCCAACGGAAATTTTATGGTAGGTATTCGATCCTACAACCTTCGGCTGGTGCTGATCAATGCACCAGAAAGCTATTGAAAATTCGGCACATTCCTAGTACCTGGGGAAACGATGCTAAGCGAAACATGCGGACAGATGACTGACTCTGTTTTACAAAAGGGCGCTATATTATTATATGTTCAACATTCACGCACAGACACGTTAAACAGCCGCATATATTTGATATAACCTGTTGTTTACAATTCCGTAACGATGCCAATAGTAACATGCATTTTAGCAGCACCAGGAGCGGTAAACTGATATGAAGCGCTGGTGCTCGCGAAGATGGTAGTCCTGGACACTGCTCATAAATCAACATTAGCGGATGGTGTCCAACTCTAATTGACGTTAACTCGACGCGACAGCTTTATCATAGGAATACACATGTAATATATATAAAATTGGAGAACCAGCACTACAACCACAGTTGACGTTTTATTAACATTAGGGTCACTTTGAAAAGTAGTTTCTATACCTGGCGTGACCCTGAGGCATAATACTTGATTGCCATGCAAAATATTGTCATTCGATTTCTGATGACACCCTGACATTTATTTCTTGCATTCGTCAGGTTAACGCTGACAATGTTAGCGTTGTGTTAACGCTCATGCTTTAAAATTACCCATGTCTTTTCTCGCCGTCTGGGTAGCTATAAACTGTCAATCACCTGCATGTGGCACATGCCTGTGGCACATACCCACCCGCAGGTATGTACCACACGTCTGGCGGAAAGGGTTCGACGATGTGTGTGATGGGATTGTGATATTTATTTCATAACCAGTGAGTCATATCCGTCCAACCATCTTATTCTCCCACAGAAATTTTGGTTTATTACCCCCAGTTAGGTAGGTGAGCATGATCGCGACGTATAAGAGGATAGATAGATAGATAGATAGATAGATAGATAGATAGATAGATAGATAGATAGATAGATAGATAGATAGATAGATAAATAGATAGATAGATAGATAGATAAATAAATACATAGATAGATAGATAGATAGATAGATAGATAGATAGATAGATAGATAGATAGATAGATAGATAGATAGATAGATAGATAGATAGATAGATAGATAGATAGATAGATGCTGTAAGTACCTGCAGTACGCAAAAGAATGCTTCGCAGTCGAACAAAAAAGAAGGCAATTCTGCAGTAATTCTACGAGGGTGGAATAATGAAAAGAGCGATGACGTGAAAATTGAGGAGAGCAAGAAAATGTGTGACCAGCGGCTTCTTTCCTTTTTTTTTCTTTCGCGCGTTTTCAGTCATGTGATTTATGCGCTACTGATTTTTTCATAATTTTTAACAAATAAAGTTGTTTCTCTGTCTTGACCTACGAAAGCACTGTAAACCTAAATGTTAACTACAGCAATATGCCAGCTACTGCAGCAAATTCAACCCTATTTCGATATATTTGATTCTTAATGGAGGCCATACAACCTGGCATTGAGACATAAGCTGTACTGAAAATTGCTTGACTGGATGCTTGATCTGCCAACTGTAAAAATTTTCTTTTGTGATCCGGGCAGTCAGTACGCCTGTGAGTATAATAGCTGCAACTGAGAATTTTTGTCTTTTACAGCAAACCAACTCAAGGCGCGTCTCCATGCATGTGTTGTAGCAGAAATGTTATCGTGCCTCTCTGAACAATGAGATGATAGATTGATTTTGGAGGCCATTTTTATTGCAATTATAAGGACACTCTCGGCTGGATTTGGCCGCTGGCTTCGGCGTCCATGTCATGCACTGTATATGTATACGTATCTATGTATATATATGAAAACTCAAGAAAGAAAAAAAATTCAGAAAAAGCTTCCGGCGTGCGAAATGGAACGTGGGACCTCCGTGTCGTAAATGCGGGGCGTTGACCACAAAAACCACCGAGCGGTACCTGCTTGAACGTACAAATGGCAAGCTATTTATATCTACCACTTACCTTCCTCCATTAACACTTACCACTGTCAGCGTGCATGTCGGAGGGTGGGTGGGGGGACTATCGTGTTTTCAGCATTATCAACAACATGACGCAATGAGCGCGCAGCGGCTCTCATCTCCCACGTGCACTTTGGCCCGCAGAGAGGAGGGGATGGGAGTGGACGATATTTCGCACGCCCTTATATCCCGATGGGGAGAATCATACGTCTTGGTTGGCGTCGGGCTTGCACTGCATAGGTTTTGTTGTAGTTACGGGGCTCACAAAGGTCACTGCAATCGTTTCACAGCCTCCGTTTGCAAAATGGACGCGCTTTTCAGACACAGAGAAGTAACAACTAAGGCGCTTATTCGCGTTCATCTGTATTTGTGAGTACGTTTCGTGCGTCATTTGTGCGTGAGAAACGCGGGACACGTTTCGATCTGCTTGCCATTCTGCGCGTGACCTTCCAATTTGTTGCTGTCGCGTCTACCGCTTCACCTTTGCGGCAAAGCTGTGACTTTTTTTCTTAGTTTGTTAGTAATTCAGTTAACTGTAGTTTCACGATAAGAAGAATACTAAAATAAGTTGTTTCAGTGGTACTTTTACGAAGGATTAATGCGTACCAAATGCCTTGTGCTGCTTTCCAGATACTACTGGGGAAAAATCGCTTCATTTGGCGTAATGGGGGCGGTGTGTTCTGCCGTAACAGTATGGCAGCTGCATGGCACCGGATATCCCCCCTTTATGATGCCCATCATAACTGATCTCAGGTGAGCAAGAGCCTCGTCTTCTATTTTGTTCAATGACCCAGTCGTAACGTTATTTTAGCTTAGTCAAATAAATAGCTAGGCTAGTTGGCACGTGTCCATAGTTTAGAGACAAGAACGAACAAGAAAGATAGGGAAGCATCTATAGACCCTTTCAGTGTAGGGTGCCTGGGCGCCGCCATACGATTCCCACTTCTGGGCTGTTATTAACACGTGTGACCCCCCCCCCCCCCCCCCCAAAATGCGTTGCCGTGGCTGTGACACCAGCTTTTGCGCTCCCTCGCAACATTGCAGAAAGGAGGGGATCCTCCTCTCTATTAAAAAGGTCTTAACAGCTGACTTTCTTGTAATGTCTTTGCGCTCGGCTTTCTGTAGTGAAGTATGCCACAGTCGTACACGTTGCCACTTCAGGGCACACCAAACGTGCCACGGCTATCCGAACAACGCTTCAGTTGTCATTTGCAGTGCGCGTTGTGATTGTCTATATTGATCAAGATTTTAAAAGAGGAAAGCGCCTACATCAACTGGCAGTATTGATTGCTACAGGAATCCTAAACTATAACCCACTGACAGTCAATTCCTGTCTTTTTTGTTCTTTTTCAGCGTAGCGAACAATTACCACTATGACGTATATGTATGGCCTTTTCAACACGGAATATGTTACTTCGCCGGCTGCATAATTTGCTTACTGGTACAGAGATACCGTGACGTGAAAATTTCAAAGGTAATTATACAGATTTCTGGAAGTGCGTGTATCAAGATCAAGATGGTTATAGCTAGGCAGCGCAAGATGGGAATGCTGTTCCTGTTACGGTTTATGAGATAATAAGGAAACATTTGTAGAAGGTTGCTTCAGCTATCTTCGTACTTCTCAATTACAGCCACCCAAATATTTAATTAGGGTAGAGTGGTCTAGATGGAAAACATTTATATATCTATTTGCACTAATAGGTGGGTATGAAGCGAGTCTGAAGGGCCCGCCTTCACAAAAAAATTACGGCATATTCACGGGGTGAATGATGATGAATGGGCGAAGCTCCGGAGGGATTCATCGGTAAACTGTGAATCTTCCGTGTAATTCGCCCAGTCGATCATCATGTAAAGACGTGAGAAACGCTGTATGTGTATATACACAAATCAACTTTTATTTGTTCTTAGACGATGGATGGCTTGCGATGTCCCTTGCCTCGCGCGCTCGCACATCGGGATTCTGTCTGCGAGCGCGCGCTGCTGCCGCCTTGCGCTCTCTCCGCTGTGCAGCCTTATCTATCCGGCGACTCCGAGCGCGTGCCAACAGCGAACGGATTTTATTACAACGCTCCCCCTAGCGTACGTCGCCGCACTAAATCGAACGATTGCCTTCAACCAATGACACGCGCCATATGTGACATCATTCCTATTTTATAAGATCTCGCGTCTTTCATCAACTACAAGTACCGCTTTCTAGTTTATAACATCTTGCATCTTTTCATCATCAGCTACAAGTACCACCATCTAGTAAACACTACAAGAACTAAACGAGAGGTGGCTACATACAGGAGACGGTACCGCCATCTAGTGAACACTGCAAGAACTAAACTAGAGGTGGCTACATACAGGGGACGGTACCGCCATCTAGTGAACACTGCAAGAACTAAACTAGAGGTGGCTACATACAGGCTACAGGGGACGCACAGCCCACGCCCTAAGGAGCTTCGCCCCTAAAACCAAGAGGGATCCCTAGCTCGATGTTCCTGTAGCTTCTGCGGAGACCCGGCCTCTAGCCGCCAATGCCTGTTGGGCTTGAAGGTCAGAGTAGCCTAGCACGAGAGCTTTCTAGTTATCTCTGGTGGGACGGAGGTGGGGTGGGTAAGATGAATGGAAGTATGCCCACACGTTGTTATAAAGGTTAGCAAAGTGACAGTGCGGGCCAACACCCGAGAAAGCAGAATTGAAGTGCTTAATACGGCAGTGGACGATACTATACAATACTTCATGAAGAAGTGGAGAAGACAGTGCTTGCTGCCCAGACAGTGATGTTCCGTGCAGAGAATTTTCCCTTTTTCGGGTTTTTTTTCGCCCGTCATTTTGAGCCAGAGGGAAAAAGGGAATCTTCGCGATATGGCAGAGAATTTCAGGAAAGCTTAAATGTTTCTACGACGACCGATATTTAGCGGTAACAGTGCGCCTTCACCTGCTGTAATTGGTTCTGGCACATGCATAAAGCAAGCATTGGCTGTGAGATTTGTTTCTGATATTTACGCGGGACGATTTCTAGTTCACTATTGGTGTTAGACCTGAAAGCCACTATGTGCAGTGTACTAACCGTATATCAATTAATAAAGTCATGCTTTTGTTGTGCGGCAGGGGAGGAGCTACTCATGATTTCAGAAGTCGCTAGCACTTGAGACACGTGTAATTATAGTATGCGTGTGTGTGGATGGGGGCGGAAATTATTACTGTTGTGCAGGGAAATATGCTGCAAATTTCATCAACGCTTGCAGAGAAAAATCCCCGAAATGGGGAATTTCCATGTGTCTGAAGGGGAATTCTTCGGTGTAGTACAGAACATCACTGCGCCCAGGTGCCACCTTGGCAGAAAAGCAGGAGGGGGGGTAGTGGTTAGAAAGGTTTAATAAAGACAGGCAATTTCTTTAAGGGTGCTGGGTGGTCAGATATTGGGTTCCGTAGCTGGCTGTGGATGAAGCGATGCCTTGTGAATAAGCCCAAGGGTAGCAGCACCAGCTGCTTCTCTTCCCTCAAGACCCACGTGAGCCGAATTCCACATGATGATATGACGCGTCGGACACTCTATAAGCTCGAATGCGTGAAGAGCTTAGAAATCATGGTGTGGAACTCTTGATCTGTGGTAGCCAGTTCAATGACGATCTCTTTCACAACTTTAAAATACTACAGCTCATGGTGTCACTTTCTTTGCCATATGACAGAGCCATGTTACAAAAAAGGTGAAAATAAGTAGATATGCACGATGTACAGTCCGCTGAGGTCATCGTCTACTAGGCTATCTTTATTTAAGAACGTCACTCAACATGAGCGCACTTCACACGAGCCAAAACCATGAGTAAAGCAAAGTTTTGGCTCAAATTTCATGTTTTAAAGATGAATGCTGCAGCAAGCAAACGTGAAATTAAAATTTGAAGATACGCTACACGTCCGCACTCATGAGAAATGACGAAGAACATGACTGGCCTGATGTGCGCTAATGCGGGTTGATGTCCTTAAAAAGAAACAGCCCAACAGTCGATGGGCCCAGCCGCACTCGTTTTATGGTGATGCGTTTATCCTCACCCAAGTTGCAGCTTGGCTCCATCCTTCAACTTGACTTCCACACGTTAGTGCATAAACTTGGTGGCTGTACCTGATATAGTACTGTGCTTAACAAGTGTTTCATATTTTTGTTGACAAACTCGCAATGATCTTCTTTCATGACTGCTCTATTTCACTGGTCAATTAATTCGCAAATAAATGCCAAAGGTTGCAAATAGCCACCAGATGATTTTAACAGCCGAGCTGTTTAGTGCGAGCGTTGGTTCGTCTGCCGGGAACAGAAAACTTCGTGCAGTGTTAACCTTATCTCGTGTTGCCTTGTGACTGGTGAACATAGCTTGGTGTATAGCCCAGACATAGCTCCACCAAGATCCACCCAGCTGCGCGTGGCTGCTCTTGTGCCGTGGCGTCACCACGATTATTAGTGAAGCATGCGGCTGCCTTTGATAGGATCGGGAAGACGAAGTTAGTTGGCTTTGCTGGACGTGAGGTCACTACAGTGGAGAGCCACGCCTCGGATGTTATACGTGATAAACTGCTCCTGAGGGCCCCGTTGATATACTTTACCGAGACGTGGAGTAGAGTAGCCACGTTCAGATCGGCGATTATAAACTTCAGCACATACCCGTAACGCCTGGACGAACTATAGGTGCGGATCGACGCCGCTCTGTCATAAGCCACTATAGTGCGAGCTACGCGGGCTCGTTGCGTGTAAGTTCCCGTACTGACCAAACTACTGTTGGTATATAGTTCTTCATCAGACTGTCGATCATAACCCTGGAGACATTAGCGAAGGTGTGGCTAGAAAAAGAAAAATAATAATTGCAAAGAGATTCATGCATTACACGCATGGTAGCTATTGCTTCGGTCTGAACAGCCTGCAATACAAACAACCATCCACGTTTTTCAGGAGTAATTAGGGTAAAGTGTACGTTTACCACCAACAGAAGAGGTTCAAGCTGTGTAATACTATCATTGAACAGCTTGAAACTATATTCTGTTGTATTTGTTGTGTTAAAAGCACAGGTAAGTAGAAGAGAAAGTAGAATTATTTTTGTTCAAGCTAAGGTAAGCTCTTCAAAAGTGTTCTATGAAATAATAGCTGGCAGGGTGTAACATCTCTAAGCCGTCATACGAATATTAAAGGCGCCGTAGTGAGTGGCTCCGGAAACCTTAATCGACGGGCCTCAACCATTTTCGTCTTCATCGAAAATGCGGCCTCTTAAGCCGGGATTCATTCCCGCAACCTTTGGGCCAGCAATAAAACACCATAACGACTAGACCACCCTTTTAGTCGAAGCGAAAAAAAAATAAACGTAATATGCATCTTGATACTCGAGGTTTAACCAAGGGCACCTCACATTTTTCCTTCCTCTTATAGCTGAAACAGTTTTCCATGTGGTGCCTTTGCGCAACCTGTGGGCTCACGTGCCTGTTTATCAAGTATGACTGGTGCCGCGGCCGCAACCCAACAGAAGAATGGGTTACCCTCCTGGTGTCGGTCGCCAATGGCCTCTGTTGTGCCATGTTCATGAGCTGGTTGGTATTCGCCTGCGCAGCGGGCAAAGGAGGTGAGCCTGTCTTCACGCTTCAGTAAACTACGTCTTTGTTTATACCTTGTTTGGTTCTCTTGCTCAACCCGCTTGCAGCGCCAGCTTGCCGGTGACAGCTTAGATTTCGCAGCTCAAGCGACTGATCAGAAAGAAGTGAAATTGTGATTCACAGTATGACAGAAAATGTACTCACTTTAAATGTAACAAACTGCTCAACTGCAAAATGTCTCATGACTTTCTGCAGTAATGTAGCCTGGCGAAAGAAAAACTGCGTAATACCCATGTTTCTGTGCGATGTATGATGTATGATGAATGATGAACGTGCCATGCTTATTGCATCTATTTATTGAGTGTTTCATTTGATTGATCTTCCACAAAAGGTCTGGTATCAAGATTTCTTTCCTGGAGGGCGCTTGTCCCTTTGAGTCGTCTCTCTTTCGGCATCTACATCATCCACGTTCCACTCTACTACTTCTTTTTTGCCCTGGCACGCGAGAGGACGTTCTACTCTCATTTTACACTGGTAAGTCAATTGCTAAACACACTGTTTTATTGCCAGAAAGTAGTTAATGAAGTTCCAGTGCCGTGACAGCACGTTAGCAACACAGCATCCAAGATGGCACTTACACACCATTGAAGCATTTGCGATTGGTGCTGAAATATCACAGGACCTGAGCGTTGACTAAGCCGCTCTTAGGTTGTTAACATCTCGAGCCGGCATGATTCGAATTGATATAAAAAGTCATGTGTCAAAAAACCAGTCGATGGGCACTTGTGCTCATACGCCTTAAATAACAGAAAAAGAAGTGCTAGGAAGAAAGACAAGAATGCTCGAACATACTTATACTAATATCTGGGGTTTAGGGTTCCTAAAGCACAATATGATAAGGCTGAACGCCGTTATGAAGGGCTACATCTTTAACTTGCTCTTAAATCGCACAGTGCACGTGCCAATACCTTTTCACCTCCATAGAAATGCGGCTGCTAAGGCCGGCATCCAATCAGCAACCTTCGAGTCCAAAGTCGAACACTGAGCACGAACACCAGCCTGGCCGACAACACACAAACGTCCTGTCGCTTCGAACTTCTACGTAACTGCAGTCAAATGTAAAAACAAACTATATTGTGAACGCTTCTAAAAAGCTATGTCGCCTTGTGATCCAGCTTGAATCACACAAAGGTTAATTTTTAGAAAATGACTGTTCATATACAGACCAACCCACGGTGGTCGAGCTATCACGGTGAAAACGGTCGTCGTATGAAGCGTGCAAGACCTGCGAGGAGGCGTATCTTGACGAAATAACACTCGTATACCCGTGAAGCACACGTAGCATGCGGGCTCTACTGCCATGTGGGCAGCCTGAGCTGGTCAAAGCATGTGCTTTTGGCTTAACAAATCGCACTGCCCAATTAAGAAATCAAATACATTCAGCAATATGATTGATTGATATGTAGAATTTAACGTCCCAAACCCACCATATGAATATGAGAGACACCGCATGTGGAGGGCTCTGATAATTTTGACCTCCTGGGGCTCTTTATTGTGCACCTAATTCTGAACACACGAACCTACAGCATTTTCACCGCCATCAAAAATACAGCCACTGCCACCGGGATGTGATCCTGTGATCAGCGGGTCGGCAGCCGAGTATCTTAGCCACTGAACTATCACGGCACGGCTGCATTGAGCAATATAAATTGTATTCATTTTGTTCAAAATAAATGTTTCAGTAGTATTGAAGTCAGTTTGTGTTTCATGAACTAATATTCATTGGCGATCGTGGTAACAAGAGAAGTTTTTAGTGGGACGTCTCTCTAAGTGATCATGTTAACTGGCGGTGTTCTTTATCCTATACCAGAAGGAATTCTTAAGAATCTGAAAATTAGCAAAAAAAAAATACTTGGGAATCCGGGATACACTCTTACCATGACTCGACGACCCGTTACGTGGCCCCATTTGAGAATCACTAAGCACTGTTTACATGACAATCAATCCACTCATAAGTTGTAACTGTCATCTTTCCGTTTTAGAAGTGTACGCTCATAGTGTTTAGCAGTATTAACCAAATCGATGTTTCCCATTTATGAAAGCATTATTATCAAATCACCTTTGTACTGCGCAGGTGCTGCTGTCACTTGGGATCTTCGTGGTAAGCTCTATGCTTAGTTTCTTCGTGTTCGTGGCCTGTGAAGCTCCGGTGGGTCGACTGGAAAAGCAGCTGCTCATGCCCTCTAGCCTGCAAAACAAGGATCCCAAAGAAATTAAAGTAGCACCGATGAACGGCACAGCACGCAACGGTGCTACAGTTGACAAAGTTTCTAAGTTGGTGGGCGCTAGCCAAAAGGGTCTGGAAGCGGTTATATCTGTTGCTCACATAAGTCGCTTGTGAAATATCTCTTTGTTTTTGCTATAGGGTCATGTTTCAGCACTTCACTCAGTAAGCGTGGTAGCTACACGTCATACTTTATAAAAAATAATTGTTGTTCAGTACCTACTTAAAGATATATGTCTTCTGATCTCTGGCGAAACGTTCAGAAAGCACGAAGCCCTGCAAAACTTTTAATGAACAGGAGTAACGGTTGTGAATGGTTCAGTCAAATAGCAAATCGGTCGTCTCAGAGCTTTGCTTTTCTCTCAATCAGGCTTTCCTGTCATCGTTGCCCATTGTATAAAATCCCCATGGTGCTATGTGAATAAGCGAAAAGCGAGAAAGAGATATACAATCTCGCAATGTCGCGGCATTGTCTCACAATGAGACGGCAGTATATGTAAATAATAAATAATACATCACATATTGTTCATTTTGCTTCATGTTGTCGTACCACATTATCCTACTGTCACATGTGTTGAAGTGAATGAAATCTTGTCATCCATCAGTAACACATTTTGCATTTATACACGTTATTAAAATTGTTTTGTGCTGAATGTCTTGAATGTTGCTATTACAACATGCAAGGTCAATCACGGTACAAATATTACACATTTGGTAGAAATTGTTAAAGTGGAAACTGTACAAGAAGAGACATCACAAAATGCTACTTAAATAATTTTTCGTCTGAAGCAGGTGTACTTTCAAGGAATGTGAGTGTTAGCTAGGGGAAGAAATATATATCACCGCACAATTTTGTCTATTTCTGTCATTTTGCACGCTGTTCGTTTTAATGTTCATATTTTTAGCGTATCTTCTAATGTGATTGTCCGCCTCGGTGGATCAGTGGCTATGGTGCTCGGCTACTGGTCCGAAGGTCGCGAGTTTGATCGCGGGCGCAGTGATGGCATTTTGATGAAGTCGAAATAGTAGAGGTCTTTGTACTGTGAGATGTCTGCGGATGATAAAGAATGCTTGAGGTTCAAAATTTCCGGAGTCCTCCACTCTCATAATCACATCATAATTTTGGGACGCCAAACCCCCCATAAAATTATGATTATTATTACTATATAATAATAATAATGTTATTTTGTTATTATTATTTTATTATGATTAAGGATATTCCGGTAATTTGTAAGCATAGTTATTCCATTTATTTGCCTGTCGCTATATCCAGATGTCCTTGTGATCGTAAAAATATACCTACGTAAGGACATATGTATTCTGATTCCTGGAGAAACATTCAGAAAGCACGACGCCCAGCAAAAATTTTAATGAACAGGATTAATGGTTGTGAATTCTTCAGTCAAGTAGCATATTGCCTGTCGAAAAATTTTGCTTTCCTCTCAATAAGGCTTTCTTGTCATCGCTTCCCATTGTAGGCTATAATAGTCACCATCAAATGAATGAAAAAATACCACTGCTATCGTGTGAACTCGTTGGGTTACATAGAGCATGCACATTCGGTCCTAGTGGTGTATATATTTAAGGAAGGTCTTAAGCTACAGACCTTATGAATTGATTATTATACTGAAGGTGGTTATACGCGCATTTAAGACCTTGTAGAATATTCACTGATAACATATTCAAGTTTCACTCATAAAAGTAAAGCAATAAAATGTAATCATTTCTTAATATATATCTGAGATTTTGGGACTACGATATGATTATAAAAAACGGCGTAGGGGGAGCTCCGCAAATTTTGTCTATCTTGCGTTCATTAACGTGCCTTGACATGATACAGTACTGTGATCTCTAGCATTTCACCTCAATCAAAGAAAAAGTACTTAGAAAGACGCCATGAACAAAGTAATAAATATAGGCACAAAGATTATGACATTTGAACCATCGAGCAACAGGACGAGATGTCTTAGCGGCTGTGGCATTGTCCTGTTTTGCACAATGTCGTAGGTTTCATTTCGATCGCGGCAATAGCGACTAGAATTAAATGAACGAACGCTTGAGTACATGTACCTACGTTAGGTGTGTTCCAAGGAATGTCGGGCGCTCAAAATTGGAAGGCGAAAGTCGTGTTATTTCTTAAGAATCGATGTATCGATCTTCCCCTACCCTCCTGCGACCATTTTCATCATCCAAAGTTTTTCTGCACTACCTCTAGAATCAGTGGTGTAGCAAGCTTTGTGAACCTCACCTGGTTTAACACTGCCTCCAAGGTGTATATAGGCTGGTAGAGGAGGCTCCTTAGAAGCCCGTACATTCAGAAAATGGCGGATGATGAATCGCCAATGGGGCTTAGCGCCATCTCTGTGAGGAGGGAACACTTCCGGTGGAACAAAAAAATTAAAACGGATGTGACGGAATAACTGGTAAACAAGTGACGTTATTTTGTGAGCACTAGCGCGAAATTTGATCTGAAAATACTTTTCATGGGCCCCTGATCGCTAAGGACTCGTGCTAAGGCAATCGCCGGTGAGTCATCCACGAGTGCACTTCAAGTCAAAGCCAGCTAATCTAATACGAGCTCATGATTAAATATTGATGTTTGAGTGTACTACCATTCACTTTGCTCGGTTTTACAAGGCAACTTATTCTTCGAACATTTATTCGTTGTTCATGGCATCTTCCGCCGATGGATTAAAGGCGCAGCAGCGTATACATGTGATATCTACAGCGTGGCTTATTTGTTTCACACATACGCAGGTTTTTTTGGTATGCACATTGCTTGTGATTATCCGTTTTATTAAGAAAAATTGACGCATAGTCATGCGATAATGATGAAAGTTTAGTTTTATTCAATGGTCACCAAAACGGTAAGTAATTGCACTATACAAAATGGTAATAAGAACAGACGAAATTGGGGACACTCCCTGCATTATGTTTTTCTTTTTTCTAGATTATGCTCCGATAAATTACCGCTACGTATGTGAATGAAGACATGCGAGTTGTACTGTGATAGATAACTTGGTAATTTGCTCCCCTATAATGCGAATAGTAGGCACTGCATGCTCAAGAACGAAACCGGGCTGCCGGAAAACAGATGAATGAATGCCCAGCCAGCAGTGCATTCCCCACTATTCTCTTTGTTTCTTATCTATAGGAGACATGGGTCACTAGACATACGTCTGTTGCTATACTGCATCCTTGCACAGCACATTGTTTCCAGAGCTACCGACGAAAGCACTCGACGTTACATGTAATCCGCATCGTTCCGCTGCCCGTTGGACGCTGCACTGAACACGTTCACCAACGATAAAACGCACCTAACGATTTCGTGCACAACAGAGAGCGCAAGCAAGCGCATAACACTAAAACACGTGAGGTGGCGTGTCTTCGCAGAGGAATTTTACAAGCAGGCCTTGCCATGTATATCGATGTAGTGCAAGGGCTGCACTGAGTAATAATAGCGTGGGAAGAGTGTGCGAAAAAAAACAACTGATTTTTTGTAATAATAAAATTGTCATAAGTTCTTTGTTCATTACACCTACATAATATTGTTGGGTAAAAGACATCTCATTAGTAAAACTGATTTATTGCTTCAACTTTGAATCAAACTTGGTTTTTTCAATATTAGTGTTTGTTCGCTCCACATATTGTCCCGCTTTGATTGTAGCTCCCATAACTCCCCATGCTGATGTCACTGGCAATAGCTTCTGAACCGCTTTTTGCCCGAGCTTTCACGACCTATTTTAATAGACCTTGCTGCCTCTCTGAACGTCCCACTTTAACCAAGCGACGATGTCACGTGGTGACTTCTTCACGTGACGACAGGTTATGTTACGGCTTGTGTCACTCGTTTCGACGCCGACGTCCAAGTTCACTGTCAGTTTTTGCATTTAATGAGGCTAACTAAGGTTTTCGCTTGAAGGCTTTCTCCTCAAAGAAACAGACAACTGGCCAGAGAGTGCGATTAGATCGTCGTAGAAATGAAAAGAGCAGAAAAAATAGTGACATATTCCAGAATTTTCGGGAGCGAAGTGCCTCAAGGCATTACTACAACTACATAACTCAAGGCTCTGAGTTATGTAGTTGTAGTAGCAGTAGGTAGCTACCTCTAGTTTAGTTCTTGCAGTGTTCACTAGATGGCGGTCATTGATTCGAGATGTTGGGTGCTCACGGGAAGACGACAAACGAGGCTGTAAAGGGCGATATGGGGTGGGCAGGTTTTGAGGCGAGGGAAGCGCAGAGCAAAATAAGGTTCGAAGAAAGGCTAAGAAATATGAAGGAGAGTAGATGGGCAGAGAAGGTGTTCCGTTATTTGTATAGGAAGAGCGTGGACACACAGTGGAGAAAAAGAACTAGAAGACTCACTAGTAAGTATACGGCTGGTATTGTAAGCCATATGTCAACAAAGAGCGTTAAGGGAAAAGTCAGGGAGGCGGAGAGGATTTACTGGATGGCAGCTATGGAGAAAAAACCGGCTTTGAGTAACTACCGAAAGGGCAAAAATGAAATAAGGAGGGAGGCATTTTACGATAATTCAAGGGGAAGCGCTTTACTGTTTGAAGCGAGATCGGGTTGCCTTAGAACGCGTAGTTATAAAGCAAGATTCAGTAAAGAAGAAGAACAATGCACATGCTGCGGGAAAGATAAGGAAACGGCGGAGCATGTTCTGATTGAATGTGGAGATATCCACCCAGGTGTACGTTTGGGCACGAGCCTACAGGAAGCCTTGGGTTTTAGGGACAACAATGGAAAGCTGAACACACCCGCGATTGAAATAAGTAAGAGACGGTTAGAGTATTGGTGGCAGAAAATTAGAGAGAAAGGACAAAAATAAATATTGGAAAAATAAAATATGGACAGTGTGCCGTAAATGGCAGAGAACTTAAGCTGAAAATTTACCTTTTTTCCATTAAGATAGAATTTATCGAAGTAGAGGCATTAAGCCAACAAAAAAAAAAGAAAAAAGGTTTTTTTTTTGTCGAGCCTGGTGGCATACTTGTCACCACCCCGTTATAAAGGGGACGCTCATAGCATCCATCCATCCATGTTATAAAACTAGATGGTGGTACCTGTAGTCGATAATGAAAGATGCGAGATGTTATAATAAGAATGATGCCACCTATGGTGCGTGTCATTAGTGG